TCTCACCAGCTATGCCTTCTGCCTTGGGTGCATGTTTTCCTGGGCACTGGTGGAGGAAGAGGGGGGCGGGGGGAGCACACCGCCTCCAGCAGTGCAATCCCAGTGGGGTGCTATCATGGCTGCCCCCCCACCTGTGCTAGGCGCCACACTCCCGGGACGCACACCACACCCCCGCCTGCTCTCAGCACCCCAGTGCCAGAGCATAAAGCTCCGAGCACTGTTCCTGGGCACATGTTTTCTTGGATTTCCAGACTGCGATGCTGTGGTGCGATTTTAGACCAGTGCTTTCCAAATACGCTCAGTACTTCTGCTCACTTGACCTGCTGGTCATTCATCTGGCTGAAAGCAACCTGTGTACACAAAAGGCTGTTGATTTAGAGTGGATCTGTGATGGACAGCAGAGCCGGACTAGCGTCTGGTGATGCATTTCCTCTGAAACTCCACCAGAGTGCTGGAGCCTCTCGTTCATTGGCTACAGAGTCAGCTGGCCACAGTGGGGAGAGGAACAGCACTTTGGGGGGAAGAATAAAAGGAGCAGTTTCAGAGAGAGAGAGAGAGAGAGAGAGAGAGAGAGAGAGAGAGGGCTGGATTTAAGATGAGAGATAGTGTTTGGTTTGATTTGAGAAGAGAGATAGGATTTGAGTTGAGATTTTAAACAGGTTTCAGGTTGGGAGATAGGGAGTGAGATAGGGAAAACTGGTTCTGAGTTACACATTGAGGAGACTATACATAGCGAGAGGACAGAGCCTTGCAGCTTGGGTAGGGAGACCAGGTTGAGGGTCTGGGATATTTATTTTATTCATAAAATTTATACACCACTTGCTTGTAAACACAAACACATCCCTAGAGCTGGCACTTTATGGAAACATCTCCATTTTAAATTGCAACTACAGCACACAAGTAGTTTGTGACCTTGGCCTATCAGTATTTTGGGTCCTTAATATAGTCCTGATTGTGGCTTCCAGGAAAGAAACAGTTTCCTAGCTAGCTATGGTTCCAACCTGCAACCCTGTTATTTTAGTACCATTTATTATGCATGCCATGTTGGCTAGGAGAGGGCCATCAAAGCCCCAGTTCCTAATGTCTGAAGCTTTAATTTCCTGCTGCCTTCTCCTGCCCCAAGTGAAACATCATGTTCCTTGTGATAATGCAACTTAAGGTCATCCTTTGCCTTCAGCCATAGGCATGCAAATGCTCCCTGACTAATGAGGCAATCTCAAAGGGCTGTCCCCCCCACTCCCCCGCCGCCTTAGAAAATACTATTTCATATTGAAATCCCTCCTGACAGGTGGGATGGTGCCATTTTCCCTCAGGGCTCCTGACCTGGACCAGAAATGCAGCAGTAACCAGTTTGGTTTTCAGGCAAAAAACAAGAGAGTGCAGAAAGACTGTCAATCAGCTTGTCCTACTCATTCTTTTGGTTCTTAGACATTCTGTTTCTTCAAAGCAGCCCTTGCCAACCTGGCAGCCTCTAGATGTTTTGGCTACAACTCTCATAAGTCCAGCCACCACAGCTGTAATTCCTTGGGCTGATGGGTGTTGTATTACAAAACATCTACAGGATGCCAGATTGCTGAAGATTGTGTAATGACAGGGGTAGCCAACACACTCCTCACAGGCAACCATGTGCTCACTTGTATTTCCTTTGGAACCCGCGGAATAATATCACCTGAAAAATGCAGAATGCATGAGAGAATGTTTGCTTGTTTCTGTCTGCCTCTCCTACATTGAACAACACTTCCCTTCAGAGATGCTCACATTTCATTATATGACAGGACTCAACAACCACAACTTCCCTCCCTTCTGTTATGACAAAACACCAACACCCTCCCTATCTTCTCTCCTGAAGAGTAGAGATGTCCAAAGAGCTTCCCTTGGTGAGCAGCCACAGTGACCCATTGTTGGAGTAGAGCATAGCCATACCATTTTGTGATCTTCTCTCTTTTTTCTGTTCTCTTAGATGTGGCAGTCATTTTGGGTTATGACAGCCTCCCCCCCCCCCCCAAGACATGTGTCCATTACACTTTCTCCATGTGTGCCTACTGGAAGTTGGTGATCCCTGCTAATGGGTGATCTTCCACCACTGCTACAGTGTACAGTGGGGGGGGGGGTGGAGGTTTACTTTCTTTGTAAATGCTGTACTCCTTGGCTTCACCATATTTGAAACTCTCAGGTTCACACATTCGTGTGAAATGTATGAAAGGCAACATCTTTGGAATTAGTGCTTATCTTCTGGGGTTGTAAGCATGCATTAGGTCTGTCCAGAGACACCGTCTTAGGTGGTGTGAGATACCTGAGTTTGACAGCATGCTAGGAAGGAACAAACTCTATTCAGCGTTAAGAAGCAGTTCCTCTTTTGATGGGATGAATTTCTGGAAGATCCAACTCATCTGCCAGGATGCAATTTGTCAGCATAGGGACTCTCAAATGCCACTGGATGTAACATCTCTGATGGGAAGGGACGTGCAAATTGGCAAGGTGGCCATTCTTTGTTTCTGGAAGCACCACTAGTGACAAGAGGATGATCTGAGGTTTGGAGGGGAGTGGGGAGATCGTGAATTGATCAGACAAATAACTTTTCTGAGATATAGTGGGGGAATTCAGCTGTGAGGGATTTGGAATATAAACTCCCATCATTCTGAAGTCCATGTTCCATTATGAGTTGGGCCTCACTTTACTCTAGATTTGAACTCTGCTTGAAATGAGTTCTAGTGTGTGGGGAGGGAGAATATATACATTAGCAAAATTGGAAATAAAAATGGAAGAACAGAGCATTGAGTACGTATCAATGGCTATCAGTCACAATGGTTAGGTTCTACTTCCACTTATCTGACAAATTCCTCTAATTACCTGTTCCTGGAAATCACAATTAAAGAGAGTGCTTTTATGTTCAAGTCCTGCTTGTAGGTTTCCCATATTCATATTACTGGCCACTGTGAGAACAGGATGCTGGACTAGATATGTCTTGGGCCTGATTCAGTAGCTTTCTTCAAATGTCATGAGGAGTGTTGGATGTATTGGTTCCACTTTGGGAAGAAGAATATGTCCTTTGGAACTTCAGTATGGAATCATAGAACTGTAGAATTGGAAAGGACCCCAAGGGCCATCTAGTTCAACCCCCTGCAATGCAGGAATCACAACCAAATGAACCCTGAGATTCAGATGAGGATGATTTTTGGATTCATTTGTCATTCCTGTGAAAGCTCTGGCCATAGGGCGATAGCTCCATGTACTCATTCATTTTCTGACAACCAGAGCAGCCTCAAAATGTCTTCTTCCATTTGCTTTTAGATTCCCAATCTGCTTCATCCAGACATATGCCTCTCAGCTTTCTCTGGGTAGATTGAGGGTGGGGGTGGAGTATACAATTCACCACTTCCTGATCAGTTGTGGTTCTCTCCCACTTCTCCCTCCCAATTGAAGGGGATCCATCAAGATAATTTCCCATCATTAGATGTGAAGTGTTTTGAATTTGAAATGCCTTTACACTTAGAAAAAAATTGATGCCTATAACGTGTAATGCACTCACAGTTTGTGATATTGCCTGACAGCTCAAAGTACATTACTGGTAGCTAATCCTGGCAGCTGAGATCCATTAAAAAGTAGGTAGTATCTGTTAATACAACCATATTGTTTTGGTCATTGTGCCGATACATATGGCTGTGTCGAGCAATATATTTATGTGAGGCTACAAGTCCCCCTTTCCCAGTTATTTTTAAATTACCTAATTTATGGAAGGTATCTGTGGAGGCTGATCCATCAGGGTGAATGGGGCAATAGCCACCAACCTGAGTCTGCCCTCAGCAAGCTCCCAACTGCCTGCCTTCTTGCTTACAACCTGTTCAGAGGATGACAGTGTTATGAATCCCATGGAAGTGTCATGGGGTGGGTGGTCTAATCCTAGGAGGAAATGGGAAGAGCTTAGAAAGCTGGAGCTGGATGACCATGAGGAGGATCCTGGTAGGGTGGGGGAAGGTGTCAGTAGGACCCTAACAAGTGTCAGAGCCAAGGAAGGGATTAATAGTTTTGAAGATGGAGAACTGGATCCCAATAAGGGACCAAGCTGATTAGCAGAAGAGTGTTTTGTTCCAGTGTCACTGACCACCCCTAGTTAGATCCCTCCACCCATGGAACAGCCCCTGGTATTCCCCTATCAGCAGTGAGACTCCTTCTGAAGAGTAAATAAAATGCTAACCTAGTGACACTTTCCTCTTCTAGGACATGGAGCTAACAGCACCGTTGTAAACAGACCTCATGAGCTGAATTCGCCTGGAGGGGTGCCATTTGCTCATCCAATCTTGTAACATTTGTCACACTAAAGCTATGCCTACCCCATCCATCAAAAGGAAGATGCAGGGAGTGTGCCACTTATGGATCAATGTCTTAGCTTGTACCTAGCTATGTATCTTATCCTCTTGCACACTTGCTGTACCTTGTAATTGTGTCTTGCTGTCAGGGACCAACTGGACAAAAAGGAGTGGTGGGAGGCACCAGCCAGGGATCTCCCAAGGGAAACCCCGAAGAGGAAGACTCAGAGCTAGGGAATTGGTGGTGCTGGATGCTGAAGAGGCTACAGGGTTTAGTGAGCAAGAAGAGCCTGTGACAGGGAGCAGTTCAGACTCCAAGGCTGAAGCATGGTGTGTGTGTGTGTGTGTCAAGAAACTGCTGAAGAATTCAGGGAATCTCCCTCTCCTGCTGCGACAAGCTCTCCTCCCCCTTGCTCTCCATAAATGCCCAGAATAATAAGAGCAGGCCAGGAGTGCACATATGCAGTTTGAGACTGCTTGGGAAACATCCAGGAGAGGAGGAGCCTTAGAAAGGATGGAAGGCAGAAACCTTCAGTCCTGGCAACTGCTCCATAGTGGCAAGACCTGCTGGGAAGTGTTGCTGAGTTGCATGTAGTTTCCTTGAATAAAGAGTTAACTTCACTGACAACAGAGCTCTGCTTCGTTCATGCTGAACTGCATCTGAGTCCAGCCCTGACACTTCTTTATGTACCACTCTGATTTATGTTTTAAAGCCTTTGGCAGAAGCTGAGTTGGGAGTTCAAGTTCTTTGCCTGGCAACAAGGGCCAGGACAGGCACCATGTGTCAGGTTCCTCGCATTTTGTCTCAGTTGCCCTTGTAAAACTCTGCAGGAAGGAGGGTGAGAACAAAGCTAGGATTAGTTGGATTTGTCTGTCATTGGCTCTGGCTCCACTTATGGTTGACCTCCCTGCCTTCTGCCATACCATTCCCAACAGACATCAACCACCACTGGAAGATATGTGACACAACTGTCCATTTTAAGCGGGATATCCTGGATTGACAGAAGCCATTCCAGTTTCTGATTCCAATCCCAAATGTCCCATTTTGGCTCCTGGGCTCTGGCAGCACCAGAGTGTGGGACCAAAGTAAGCGCATTTTATCGTCCCAAACTGTGGTGCAAATCAGTTGGCTCGTACAAGAGCATGGGATGGGACCACAAATTGAAGCAAAACCCACATTTGCCTCTGTGTGTCACCACTTTTCTCCTCCTTCCATTGTGGCACTTCTGGAAGCTGGCTTCCAGAAGTACGCACCAACAGCAGCAGCTTCAACAGATGCCACACTGGCAGCTTCAGCAGAAATTGTTCCTGCAGTAGTGGCTTTGGCAAAGGCTGCATTGGTGGTGGTGGTGGAGGCCACAGAGGAGGAGATTGTGCCAAGAGTGGTGGCTTCGGCAGAGTCCATGGTGGCACCTTCACCGGAGGCCATGTTGGCAGAGGAGGCAGGCAAAGGTATGAGGTGTCTTGCAGTTACGAGGTGGAGTCTTTGCTACCATCTTTAGCTGTGGTACATACAACAAAGGAATGAACTGAGTCCATTGTGGTTAGATGAACCTATAATAGCATAGATTACTATAGTAGTATAAAATTATGTGCATGTCCAAGCAAAGGTTCAGCTTCTTAGTAATATAAAATTACACCAAACAGACCTGAAATAAAAGGTCTTTCTCTCCTCATACAGACTCCATTAACCTGCATCCAGCCTGAGGCTGTTTTCTCCCAAAGAGACCCATTTGCACACCTTTCTTCTACAGTGACTTGAGGACAAAGACAACTCCCTCAAGATGGCAGGCGATGAGGCAGGAGTGACTCTGGAGCAGCCACACCTCTCCCTGAGTGCCTTTTAAGTAAATAAGTTGACACCTCTGTCACCAGAAGTCATCAGCAGGCAAGCTACAATTAATATAGGTAAAATTGACCATGTAGCTTATGGAAAGTCCATAGTAGTAAAATCTATTTCTGAAGTTCATACTGTTGATTCAAAAATGAACTGGAGAGAAATATCACTATCAAGCTGGGCTATGCCAAAGCTAAGATTTACAAACGTCATGATCCAGGTTGTTCTCAGCCAGAATGTTACCAATCCTGTGGGAGCAGTATACCTGACAAATTCCCAAAAGATACTTCTGGGACCAAAAGGAATTTTAAACTAGTTAGGCATGTCTCTTTCGTGGATTGTCCTGGCCATGATATCTTGATGGCTGCTATGTTAAATGGAGCAGCTGTCATGGACACAGCTCGGCTGTTAATAACTGGCGATGAGTCATATCCTCAGCCACAGACCTAAGAACACTTAGCTGCTATGGAGATCATGAAACTGAAACACATTCTAATTCTACAGAAAAAGATTGATTTGGTAAAAGAAAGCCAGGCCAAGGAGCAGTACGAGCATATTCTAGCTTTTGAACAGGATACCAGTGCAGAAGGAGCTCCAATTATACCAGTCTCGGCACAGCTGAAATACAACATTAAAGTTGTTTTCTAGCTGGGTATGTTTAGCCTGCAAAAGAGGAGACTGAGAGGAGATATAATAGCCATCTTCGAATATATCAATGGCTATCAAATGGAGGAGGGAAAAAGCTTGTGTTCTCATGCTGTGGAGAGTAAGGCTCAAATGTGGCTTCACATTACAAGAAAGGAGATTCCAAATAAACATCAGGAAGAACTTTCTGACAGTAGGAGCTGTTCAACAGTGGAACTGTCCCCCATGGGAATTTGTGGGCTCTCATTCCTTGGAGGTGTTTAAGCAGCGGTTGGGTGATCATCTGTCATTGATGCTTTAGCTGAGATTCCTGCATTGCAGGAGGTTTGGGTAGATGAGCCTTGGGGACCTTTTCAACACTACAATTCTATCATTCTATGATTCTCTTCTATGACATCAAGAACTGAAGGCTCATTTGTTTCTGCAATGCATGAACAAGGTCAGTGATGTGTTGCATTGGGGTCAGACAAACAAATTCCAGGGAGAAACATGATGGACTTCTTGTGCACCTTTAGGGAGATGTTGGAGGTTGTGAAGCAGGGCTGATGGTCCAGATACATCCTCTCCCTTGACCAGGCCAAGGCCTTCAATTCTGTAAGGCATGAATACCTGTCAGAAGTCTCCACCATTCCTCCTATGCCCAGTCCCTGACACTTCTTGACTGCAAAGTGATGGAAGGGAGGGGAAGGCATTGACCCCACCTGGAGCCACCAGAAGCAGGCAGCAGTTGTGTGGGGTCAATTCCACAGCCATCTGAAGCATGCCTGGAGGTGGATGATGGCATGGGGTGTGTTGGCTGAGGCCTTCCAGGTGATCTCAGTTGTAGGGCTGAACCAGCCATACAGTTTCTCTGCAGAGGCACTGAGTGGGATCACCTTACTCAAGATCACTGCCAGAAGCTTCTATGCAAGAATATCATGGGGGACACAGTGGTGTGATCTAGGAAAAGTCCTGAGGTCCATAAAGAGAGGCCTGGAAGACTGGATCCCCCCCCCCAGCCTATGGATTAAATGAACAAGATCAAATAAACTTATGAATTAACATATTAAACCGACAATAGATTTTGTTCAAACTTTGACACAGGCATAGTAGACTCACTTACGCACATGAATTTCATTGTGTCTACTCTGTGTAGAACTAGGATGCAACGCACTGACTGATTCATTCATCCCTAATTGGAAAGAGCTCTACACTCAGGGCCACCCCAAGACTTTTTGGTACTTGAGGCAAACCACAAAATTGTGCATTCCTTCCCTGCCAGGAAATAAGGGGTGAGTAAAGATCTACATCAGGAACAAGGTGGGGAATAAATATCTACATCAAGATCTGCTTCCCCTGTGGATCCTGCCATCCAAGGAGGTTGCCTTACCTTGCCTCTTGGGCAGGCCAGCCATGTCTACACTTGTATGGATTTATGGATATACAGTACTTGAATGCCAGGGGAAATCCTGGTCCATTCCAGGTGGCCTGTGACCTTTCTTGTAGTAGTGCATTGGACTGAAACTTAACCTATCCACTGGCTTTGCTATTTTCCAAATATTCCAAAACCCAGCTCAAAGATGTGTTAAAATCTATTTGGGTGTTTTAAGAGAAAATACATAATTAAGTGCAGTTTTCTGTGCTGACTTTTTAAAAATAATAATTAAAAAGGCAGATTACTGTGGAAACGGGTTGGAACAGGCATGGGTGAACATATGTGAAAGTGATCTGGACTGGAAAGAGACTGATTCTCCCTTCCCTGTGAGGAGTATTTTGGAAGCAGCTTTAGTTCCTGGTTCCTGGTACTGGTACTGGTTTCTATTGGCACTGTGCAAGGCTCTGCCGCTCTCTTTCTCTATTGGCTCCTTTAGCTCCCTCATTTTCTTCATCTCCCTAAGCTATAAAGATGCTTGCTGACTTCGTGTGTCTTGAAACTTGCAATTTCCCACTGCATTTGTTGCCATGGCTACAAAAATAAAATAAAAAGACCCCCAAAGTGGAAAATGTGTGGAATCAGCCTCTTTGATTTGTGTTTTGCCTGGGCAGAGTCAGACACCAGGGCTGTTTTAGAAGCTAAGGCTATAATGGACTCTTATATTTTCCCCGTGAGAGCTTTGGAGAGCTCTCGCCAAGCCCCCCGACTACTTCTCCCAAGCACTGTCCGCTGCAAACCTGCCCCCCCCCGACATCTATCCAAGGCTTTCATCTCAACAAGATGTTCTTCAAGGCGGGCTATGCTGGCAACACATTTATTTGTCTTGATGGGGATATGATGACCGTCGGGAGCAGATGCCAGGCTCCTAAATCTGAGACAACAGTGCAGGGCGTGCTTATCCGGCACAACGCTCTACCTGCATCATTCTCCCAGCAACTGATCCATCAGCAAAGATGATGGAATGCTGACCACGGCCTGATCTCCACTCTGCACCCCCCTGCCCTCCCCACCCCCCTTTTCCAATCACTGTGATGAAAGGACCAGCAGCCCTTAAATGAAAACTTTACGGTGAGGAGCGGCTGACACTTTTTCATTATGAAGATACATGGGGTGGCTGGTAGCTAATGAATGTCAGTGCTCAAAAGGATAATCTCTGCTTCTCTCTGATACAATTTAACATCGTATTTCCCTAATTTGAGCCTGATTTAGTCACGGGGGTATTTGGAAGCCTCTTCTATGGTACCGATAGTTAATTAAACAGATGTTGCAGAGGGAATCATTAATTTTAGTACCACAGATGGGAGCGGAATGACTTTGTGAAGTTAATGTTTCAGCAAAACAATGGGCTTCTGTCATCAGTTGGTATAAACCAAGTAAATTAAGAGGAGAACCAGTGGAAGAATGGGAGGGGGAAGCTTTGTGAGACTATCAGTTTTTCATTCCAGGAATACAGCTTATATTTCAGTTAATCATATGCTATGGCAGTAAAGTGGTTGAGGTAGAGAGACAAAATGGCAGGGAGGTCACGTGACCTTGGAACTGGTGTTGGGTAGGAAATAGAACAGGGGTAGGAGCCTCAGGACTGGGTATTGAATATGACCTTCTGGGCCTCTCTATCTTGTCCTCATAACTCTCCCTAGGCCACACTCTTCCACTGGCTCTGTTTTGCACTCTCCGTGTGTGTTTTTGCCTGGCTGGAATGTGTCATTCAGCTCTGATAATGCCTCCTGCTTGCCTAGATGGAGAATAGGTTGTGTGTGCACTTAGATGTAGAAATTAACCTACTGTACAAAAGCAACATTTACATTTGTTGTTTCTCTAATTTTTGTGTCTGGACATGGCCACTGTTGTCAGAAAATGGCCCTCAGAAGACTGTCCAGAACATAATATGGGCCTCTGGTTGAAAAAAAATATTCTGCATCCATGAAGCAGAAAGGTGAATTTGAACATAGGAAACCGAGGCTCTTATCAATAATAATTATGGCGATGATGATAATGATAATGATAATATTGATAGATCACTTCACAGCACAAAGCCAGAGAAGTAGTGTGCACAGTAAAAACAAATACAGATACAGTGGATGCTCAGGTTGCAAACGTGATCCGTGTGGGATGCATGTTTGCAACCCGCAGCGTTCGCAACCCGCAGCAGCGCGTCTGTGCACACGCAGGTTGCAATTTGGCGCTTCTGCGCATGCGCAACCGCCAAAACCCGGAAGTAACCCATTCTGGTACTTCCGGGTTTCGGTGGTCCGTAACCCGAAAAAACGCAACCTGAAGCATCTGTAACCCAAGGCATGACTGTACACAAATTCTAAGGACCATAACAAACTCTAAAACACCAAAATCACCCACACAAACTCTAAAAACAATGAAACAATCGCACCATATAAAAATTTGCTCCTTCCTAAATGACTGGGTTACACCTCAGGAAAAGCCTTCCTAAACAAAAGTGTCTTCTGTATGCACCTAGACATCATCATGCAAGGGGCCACACTAGGCACTTTACCAGTACAGGTAAAGAATGTGCTGTCAGTAAACCAAGGGTTAATGTTTGGAGGAGGGACAATCTGCCTTCTTATGGAGTGCAAAAAGAAGCTTGAGGTAAAGGTTCTATTGTTTCCTGGGGCCTTGGTATGATACACCCAAAATAAACATGTTGTTTCCATAAGTACTGGAGTAAGTCTTTTTAGTAGCGGCTAAATAACAATCTTAAAACTGGTAATTTAAATTTGTTTCAGTATTTTAACTTTTGTATGTTTTAAAGTATGGTTATGATCTTTTTCTTGATTTTAATGTTTTATCTTTTGTAAACCATTTTGCGTTTTTTGGGGGGGGGTTTGCAATCAAGTGGTGTATAAATCTTATGAAACTAATCCAACTCTTAGGTATTGCTGGAACAGTGTGTGGCTGCCCCATGTGGTGAGTCACTGAACTGCAGATGGCAGCTTCTCAGTCCCTGGACTGATTTCCGTCCGATCATTGATTCTTCTGAGCAGGAATGAACATAAAAGGACTTCCTGTTCCAATTGAGCCTTGCTTGAACAACAAGGAATTTCAGAGCTATGGCTTATTCATGCATCTTTGGTCTTGACTGAGCCCTGTCTCCTGGTTGCCTTTTTGGCCTGGCTTTCTCTTCAGTCCTAATACCTGCTTGGCTTCCTGCCTCCTAGTTTATGTGTTCCAACACCTCACTAATCAAAATCAGGACAATCAATTTTTGGTCCACCGCTCTGGTGCAAGCCAGCTGATCCATGACAGACTTGAGAACAAAAAATGAGTGTCCTTTGGTTCTGCACTCTGGCACAAGTCAACTGACTTGCACAAGCTGGACCAAAATATGGTACATTCTGGGATCTAATCAGAAGCTGTGATGGCTTCTGTCATTCCAGGATATCCTGCTCAACGTGGGATGGTTGAGTGGCAGGCTAGTTTTTCTTTTCAGTCCTGACTTGCTGTCTAGTTTTGATATCTGGCTTTCCTCTCAGCCCTGCCTTCTAGTTTTATCACTCCTGTCTTTCTCTTGAAACCTGACCACTGGCTGGCTTCTGCATCCTGTCCTACACAGTTAGCTGCATGATTCAGCCCTGACTGTATTGTAGGTGTGGCCAACATACTGTCATCCAGATATGGTTGGACTTCAGCTCCCATATAACCCCAGCCATCAGGGATTATGGGAGTTGTAGTCCACCATTATCTGGAGCACAAAAGGTTTGGCTACACTTTCTGTGTTACGTCACCACACCTGTTCAATGGACAGTTCCAGCTATTAACTCTTCTCTGTTGTATAGATTGCTGACAAGATAGCATGTGAGGATTTTGTATAGCACTGCAGTAGAAAGTGCTGCATTATTATCTCAACCTAACTTACCTCTCACAGGGGTGCTGTGAGGGTAATAAGGGACATCCTGTATCTATGGAAGATAGCAGAATTCAAAAAATATAATAAACGGAGCTTAAAGTTCTGATTTTAAGAAGGGTACCTGAAAACTGGTGACCAATTTTTTTTTTAACACAAGCTAATGATTTCTAGTACTTTAGGCATTTCGTTATAGAATTTGCTTTCTTAATCTTTATTGATATAGTTTGTAGCTCTTGTCATAATCTTTTTCTGCATTTCAGCATTAATCTTGAGCTCTGGCACCAAAACCTAGAATCTAGTTGAGTTACTGTTGCCTTGTGCTCCTTGGATATACTTTCCCCCTAGATAGCAAATACTATCAGGGGCATGCAATAAAACCTGATTGTGACATATGCAAAGTCAGATGATTGGTCTATCTAGCTAGCCCACCCAGCATTGTTTGCTCTGATTAGTTGCAGTTCCTCTAATTCTTTAGCAGAAATCTTTTCCCACCCTTCAGTTTGATATTCCTTATTAACCGGAAGGCTGAGGATTGAACATGAGACATTCTGCTTGCAAATCATGTGCGCTATCATTGCACATTGATCTTCCCTGTCAGTCAGACCATTGGTCCATTTAGTCCAATACAGTGGTACCTCGGGTTAAGAACTTAATTCATTCCAGAGGTCCGTTCTTAACCTGAAACTGTTCTTAACCTGCAACACCACTTTAGCTAATGGGGCCTCCCGCTGCTGCCGCGCCGCCAGAGCACGATTTCTGTTCTCATCCTGAAGCAAAGTTCTTAACCCGAGGTACTATTTCTGGGTTAGCAGAGTCTGTAACCTGAAGCATCTGTAACCTGAAGTGTCCGTAACCCGAGGTACCACTGTATTGCCCATTACAGAGGAAGCCAATGCGGTCCCTTTCAGATGTTGCTGTCATTGGGATTGCTGGCTTGGGCTGATGGAAGCTATACTTCAATATCCTGAGGAACCGTGCTGATGACCTCTGGGTTTACTGTGACTGGCAGAGGGTCTTCATATACAAAACAGATAACTTTCCCTACCTCAGCAAACCATGCTATCACTTTTTTTCTCCTTACAAAAAGAAACACGCTTTTAGTCCAACAAAAAGTTATGCAAGCCATGCATCCATTTCAAATGAGGAACAGCTGAGTCATGTTCTTTCCTCCTCACGTATCTCTCCATCTATATATTCTCCTAATCACTTTCCCCATTCATCTATTAATTCTTCTTGCAGGAACCATTGGAGTATTTGTTTATTTGTTTGTTTGGAGAATGTCAAATAGTTTCAGTGCCCAGACAATAATTATGCTCTTGGCAGTTCCTACAGCAGATAAATCTTTCATGAAGCATCTTCTGTCCTTTTCATAAACAACACATTTATTCTGTAGATTCAACAAGGCAAGAGA